GCCGTTTCGCCGACGCGAGCTGTCCTAGATTAACCTTTGTGAGGGGGGACCGGCGTCCTCGGATGAGCTAAGTGAGTGCGTCACGATGCTCTCCTTTAATGCTCTAGTGCTCTAGGCGAATCTAAGCCCCGTAGAAGCAGTATGAGCGTAGTGGGTGAGAGAGGGGAAGCCCAGTGTGCTACCTTACGGTAGCGCAGTCATCATATAGCTGATTATAAGCATGCGAGAGGTGGTGGAAAGCGCAAAAGAGGCCACTGATCACGACCAAAAAATTGAGAGGGTGAAGAGATGGATGTTTGCTGCGAATACAAAGGCAGCGCAGTTTCCAGAGGCAGAAATGCGCGCTAGACAAAAACAAACAAAGCAAGGGAAAAAAAAGCGAAAACCCCCTGTCTTCTTAAGCTTCTTAAGCGACAAGCAGAGAAACGATGCAGAAAAAGAATTTAATAGCAAAAACTTGAAAAGTACGCTAGCCTCCGCCATTGATGCAATTAAAGACAAAAAAGAAGAAGGAGATGCGCGCGAGAGTCTCGAGAGAAACTCTATAGAATGTCCGAATTTTCTATTCTCCCCAACAAGCGACCACACTTCCCCTGGACAGGGAGAAGCTGGGAAATCGAACAGGCAGGAGATTTTTGGAATCAAAGGGGCGTTTAAGCATGAAGGCCCATTGCCAACGCTCACCGCCAGTGCGGCCCGCGATGCTACGCAGTTAAACAGCCGCGGGGCGGCGAAACCCCGTACGTTCAGAATGGGCGATTCGAAAGAGGCATCAAGAGCGAAGCACCGCGGCAACGCATAAAGCGCTTTCAAACGCTCGCCTGGCGCGCACTGTGCCACATCACCTCCCCTCACCACTCTCTCCACTTAATATTTAGTATCTGCAGCCATGCACCGAAGCAATGCAGTGGCGTATGAGTGATTTGACAGGCAATAATAGCAAAAAGATCTACATCGATGCACCGAAGCTCTAGGCGCTCACTCAGGCTCCAAGCGCCCGTCTGGAGCCCTCAGGGTCCGCGCATATACTCTGCGACACACCACGTATCCATTACCGCTCGAAAACGCCGAGGCGGGCCGACGCCGCTTCGGCGGCTGTGTCAGACGCAATGCTAGCAAGGGTATGGACAGGAGTATAGACGAGGCAAACCAGATACACACGCCGACTTTGAAGCGCCAAAGCGAGCCGCCATCGACGCCGATTTACGCGATGAAGGATAGGATTCATCAGGGAAAAATAAAAGTAAAATCAGAGTATCGGGGAAAAAGACGGTGCGGGGAGGCTTGAAGGGCGTCGCGGGGTCGCAAAAGTCGTTTAAAGGGGCACCCGGCCGAAGGCCCAGCTGCACACACGACCCAGGTTGGGTCGTTGTGGTGCTGCAGGGCGACCATGGGCGGCGGGGTTGATCGTAGGGGTCATAGGGGGTCGTGCGCTGCGCCGGGCACGGTCGGGGTAGCGTCGGGGGAACACTGCTAGGTGCTGGAGGGGCTCCCGAAGGCCCGTGGCGCCGTCGACGCGTCCGTACGCGCACTCTGGAGCTATATCTCAGCATCTTGTTCCTCCTCCTCGTCGTCGTCGTCGTCGTCGTCGTCGTCTTCGTCGTCGCCTTCTTCTTCATCGTCATCTTCCTCCTCGTCGTCCGCGTCGTCGTCCGACAGCGAATCGGGCTCAAGGAATGCTTCGGCAGGATCCCACGCGCGGCTGTCGCTCTTGCCGCGAGCCCGGCGCGTCGCCGGCGTGTTCTTGTTTCGCTGGGCCTTGCGAGTGCCGCCGGAGGACGCGCCGTCGTCCTCCTCCTCGGACGAGCTCGACTTGACGAGTTCCGGTTCTTCGCCCCAGAGCGGCAAGGCCGCCCGACGAGGTCGCCCTGAGCTGCAGGCCGCGCGCGATCTTCTGGCCCGCGGCGAGCACCGCGGCGCGCGTGAAGCCGAAGCCGCGCATCGTCGCGAGCACGACGGCGCAGAGCAGGACCTCCTCGCCGACGCCCATCTTCTGCGTCGGGCCGCGCGTCGGCGTCGTGTGGAGGTCCTTCCAGGGCGTGCCGCCTCTGGCCGCGCCTTTGTGCTTCTTCGTCCAGTGCTCGATCTTGTCCCGCGACACGTAGCGCTTCCGCTCGTCCCAGCAACGCTTCGCGACGACGGTCGCCTTGAGCTTCTCGTCGTGGACCAGGTCGCAGCACCATTTTAGGTCCTCGACGGTGCCCGCGACGTCCTTCAATGACTTGCCGTCGGGCGGCGTCGGACGCCAGGGCCCCTTCTTCGGCGTCTTCGCCGGACGGCCTCGTTTCCCGCAAATCTTCTGGACCATCGCCGGGGCTGCTCCGCGTGTGTGTATCCGGGAGCGTGTGTGCAGCTGGGTCGGCACATCTATTAATTCGTATTAGTGGTTACGACTAGTATGGTAATATTTTGACTTGGTAGGAGAATAGCGGTTTTTCTCCTGAAGTTTTGGGATGCCCGACCCCGAGTTCCCACTACGAAGTGTGCTCAATCCCC